GACGCCCCCGGGCCGGCCAGAACCGACCCCTCGCCGGGACGCCCCCGGGCCGGCCAGAACCGACCCCTCGCCGGGACGCCCCCGGGCCGGCCAGAACCGACCCCTCGCCGGGACGCCCCCGGGCCGGCCAGAACCGACCCCTCGCCGGGACGCCCCCGGGCCGGCCAGAACCAAACTGAAACTGGGCTAGTCCAACCAGGATATCCCCAGGGCAGCCAGAACTGACCTGACACCGGGTTAGTCCAACCACGATATCCCCAAGCCAGCCAGAACCGACCTCACACCAGGCTAGTGTGAGGGGGAGGGATAGCTCAGTGGTTTGAGCATTGGCTTGCTAAACCCAGGGTTGTGAGTTCAAGCCTTGAGGGGGCCATTTAGGGAACTGAGGTTAAAAAAAACAAAAAACAAACAAACAAAAACAAACTGTCTGGGGATTTGTCCTGCTTTGAGCAGAGGGCTGGACTAGATGACCTCCTGAGGTCCCTTCCAACCCTGACATTCTATGATAGTCCAACCGGGATATCCCCAGGCCAGCCCAATTCTCGTCCTACAATCAATGTCCCAGTGGCTGCTGACAGCACCTCCCCATGCCTGTGACCTGCCATCTGGAGTCTGTTGGACACAGTTTCGCAAAGAGCTGGTCTCTTCTTTCGTTCTCCTCCCTCTGTTCCATCTGCAGTCCTTGGTCCCCCACTTACTCGCCTGGTTCAGTCTGCTCTGCTCTTCCCAAGGCTCCCCTGTTCCACTCCATCCTCTGCCTCCGCCCACAGCTCCATCTCATTCCCAGTACGTCAGCCCCAATGACCTGCTCCTCAGTTCCCCTCTCTTCTGGTCACACTCCTACACCATGCCTGTCCCCGGGTCTACGAAAGCCTCCCAGAACAAGGGAGCTGAAGGAGGAGCTGGACAGGGTACACTAGCCGTCCAGAACCCGGGACAGGCCAGAGAGTGACCAGGTTAGGAGTTCTCAGGGCTCCAGGCCAGGGAGGCAGATGTAACAGCTGAGTCCATCACCGCCAGAACCCAGCTCGGAGCACGGGTCTGGGAATGGATGAGCAGCCCATCGGTGGGACTGCAGAGGGGCTACTCCTCACAAACAACACCGCTAACCTCAGGGCAAGTCTGTGTGTTCGCTGCCTGCTTAAAGGCACAGAAAGAGAGACGCCAGCAGAGACTTTCTTTACCAGAGTAGAAGGAGAGTTTGGGGAGCAAATCCAAACTGCTGCTGTGAGTTCAGGGCCCGAGAGGGGGACAGTGGGGTATCCAGCAGCACTGAGGGGCTGCTGGCAGGAAGCCCTGGGACAAATAGGGCTTTCCTCTCCAGCCTGCTCCCCCGGGAATAAACTGCACGTGTAGCTCTTGGAAGACACGCTCTGTGACATGGGTACCTTGCAGCAGCGGAAGGAAAGCTGGGCCTAGCTGCCGTCTGATCTCCCCCGGTCCCCTCTCCCTTTACCTCCTGGTGCTGCCGGATGAGCTGGGCAACCTCCTGCTGCTCGTGCGGGTCTAGCTTCTTCACGAAGAAGAGCAGCTCCCACCACTCGGCCCGGCTCAGGGCCTCCGAGTCCTCGCTCGGCCGCTCCGTCAGGTAGGGCAGGGAGTACAGCCCCCCAAGGGGCTTGCAGTAAAACGTCTGGGTCACTGCATGGGGGCACAGCAAGGCAGAGACAAACCCTGAGCGCCTCGGCAGGACAGTTACCTGCTGCAGGACCATCTGAGCCAGGAGGGGACAGCCGGCCTGGGCCAGTCAGGCAGCCCAGGACATTTGGCCCTATAGGCTGGAAGCATGAGGTAGCGAACTCTCGTTCCGAGGACAAGGTAGTAATCAAAAGGTAAGGGAGGTGTCATTTGATTCACAGAAGTCAGCAGAATCATCATTTCAAATAAAGAAATAAGATATATGGAGATATACCTATCTCCTAGAACTGGAAGGGACCCCGAAAGGTCATTGAGTCCAGCCCCCTGCTTTCACTAGCAGGACCAAATACTGATTTTTGCCCCAGATCCCTAAGTGGCCCCCTCAAGGATTGAACTCCCAACCCTGGGTTTAGCAGGCCAGTGCTCAAACCACTGAGCTATCCCTCTGCAGGGAGGAGGTGGGAAGGGGGACTCTGTGTCCCGCCAGCTCCCAGCTCCACGTCCTCTGGTTGGTGGGAATTTTGACAAGAGTGTGTCATCAGAAATGGGTCTCGTTGGGGACCATTTGAAGCTCTTTCCCCCACAGACACAATGGTACCAAACATGGCAAACCTAGAGCAATTATGTAGATGTACAGTCTGACGAAGTGGGTATTCACCCACGAAAGCTCATGCTCCAATACGTCTGTTAGTCTGTAAGGTGCCCCAGGACTCTTTGTCGCTTTTTAGTCGAGAAAATGTTTCAAAATCATTTTTTGTTAATTAGACTTTAACACAGGAATGCACGGCTTACTTACAAAAAAAAAAAAAGAAGACATGGATCTCGGCTAATCCTAGAGAAATTAGCCTTGACACGTAGGACTGAAAACATTTCTTCCTCAAAGTCATCCCTGGTCTCTGCTAGACGTGTCACTGACACCGCACTCACACCTCCGGCCAAGGCAGGCTGTTGGCCAAACACTGTAAGGTGGCGAACATGCAGTCTGTGAACGTGAGCATTTGTTTACCTAAGGGACTGATTCGGGAGCACAGGTTATTTCACCCAGAACGGGGGTGATCAGTCCATCCTCTGAGATCCAGACATTCCCAATAAGGGAGGGTAGTTCTGAACGCATTCTGCTGTTCCCCTTCCATTGCTTGATAACTGGCCCTCTTGAGAGCAGGTATAAATGCACCCTGCGGCGGTGGCCGTTCTCTGTTTGTTTGCTTCTTGGAAAACACCCACCGAAGTCGCTCAGCAAGTATTGT